CGAAAGTATTAGTTTAACTAGCTGAATGATCTCTCACAGCTGGCGATGGAAACTGCGATGGTTAGCATTATCTGAATAGCAATGCGAAGATCGGGGAAGACGCTCACATCTCCATACTGAACAATAAATTCGAGAAGCTCTTCGGGTCTTGATATTTTTATGTTGGCCCGACTTGATAGCAACATTCTGCAATCCAAAATTTCTTCATATAGCTGCTGTCCATCAGCATCAGAGTTGTACAATTCGCCCAAATTTTCGCACTTCTTCTTTAGGTCTTTACTGTCGGCGCCGTAACACAGTCCCTCGACATCGATAAGGAACCCAAACTTGGCATCAGTGTCGTGCAAACGAGCGAACCTTTCATCCATTTCTCTGTGAAGACGGCCGAGTGTTCCCTTCATGACTCTTTCCATTTCCTCCTTGGTTGTTAACCCAGCGTCTCTCGAGTTCTCATCAGCCATTCGTTTCTTTCGTCTCTGACGTCTTTCAACTTTAATATTCCATTCTTGACAGAGACCGAGCTCTTCTTCGAGTGACTCACTGACCAACACTTTTCTTTCATCATCAAAATTATCTCGGATGGCTTTCAAATCCAGGGCAGCATCGTGGAAGTTCATGTTAGGATCTTGCATCCTCTTTTGAATACGGTCAATGCTAATGAATACTTTGTTCCAAAATCCTAGCAAAGTCAGAAAATCGTAACTCAACATGCGGTTATACTGCTGCCTTGCGTCATTTCTGTTTTCACTGATCTCGTTTTCATTGTCTATCATGTCCTGGAGAACTTGAAGTATCTCCTTAAGGTACTTGTTGACGGGCCTCACTGCTTCTGTCCTTGTACTCCACCTGGTTTCGGACTGCGACTTAACAACCACAAGCACGGCGTTTTTGAGTTTTTCCAAACACTGTGTTGAACGAGAGAAGAACACGTAGACAGCTTCGATGATTCCAAAAAACGTGGCCATCATTGTATCCTGCTTGGCTGCATGTATACCCACCAAGTTGAATGAGTGATTGTCGCAATTCACAAACACTGCCAGGTTGTTTTTCTCACATATTCTTTGATGAACACCACTTCTGTGTCCAGCCGTCCCAGCAGCATTGTCATAGCACTGTGATCTACAATCTTGTAGCTCCATTTCGTCCTTCTCTAGCTGTTTCAAGATGTCTTAAACCAAGCTCTCAGCGTCCTTCTTCTTATCTGGATACAACCAAGGAAGGACTCCCTAACACAGACTGTTTTTCTCTCAAAATCAGCTTCCATGTACCTCACTACTTCTGACATCTGCTCACTGTGTGCCTGATCAGGAGTA